TTTCAACCCTGAGCTACACATATTCACTTCTATAAGCAAGCACCTCCTCGCAACTTCCTGCTGGCTTCCAACAACCAAAGTCAGTGGGGAAGCTAGCAGGAAATTGCAAGTCCTAGGTGGCTCACAAGCAGGCTGGCAGGTTTGATTTCCTTTCTGTAGTCAGCCAGACCCAGGGTGGGGTGAGGATGTCCTCTTCAGTCCTTCCCTGGTTCCCCAGAGGGCTGGTGAGGGAGAAACTGGTTGATAACAAAGAGGTGGCAGAAGCAAAGAAGGCTAATTTTCTGCTAATTTTCACTCCCAGATGCGAGTTACCTCAGAACCGAAAGGTTTGACCCTGAGAGCCCCTTCCTTGTTAAACAAGGTAAAGGGTTTATGGACAAGGCAGTGGGCCCTCTCAGCTGCCGCCCCCACTTTCTGAAACTCTCTCCCTAGAGAGAAAGCACATGCAGTCCCAACAGTTTGTATTCTGAAAGCAGGCAAGAGGAATCCTATTCTATCATGTTTTTGCCATGAGTTGATTGGTGGTGCCCCTAAAGGGCTTTCTGGTTTTCTTCTTATAATTTTAACTTCAGCTGTTTGCTGCCCAGAGTCCTCCAGGGTGGGGCCAGACTGGAAATGTTGCTAATCAGTCAGTCAGTCAGTCAGCTAGTCAATCAGTTTGGGAGTGCTAGGGGTAGAACCTGGATGCATTGTAGTTTTTAGGATTCAAATAAAATTTCGGGGACCTAGCAAGTTAGAGTTCAGTTTTTTTCGGTAATACTTAAAGTTTAACTCTGCGCTTTCTGTCAAGCAGGTGGAATGCCAAGATGCCTTGGAAACAGCTGCACGGGCAGAAGGCCTACCTTTGGATAGCTCAACAGATTCTTACTTACGAGTGTTGGATGAAGATCATCCCAAGGGGAAATATCACTATGGGCTGAATCTGATGAAACCCATCCGGACTACTTCCAAGTAGGCTTTCTTTTAGTAAGCTGTAAGAGGCAGCTGGTTTTAAACCAGGAATAGCTAGCTGAATAGAAATCTATTGGAAAACAACAGAAATTTTATTTCAGAATATAGGCAGAATTCCATATATTGTGTTAGGTATGGTTTGAGGAGTAAGCAACCACAGCTTGTCCTCTACAGTCATGTATGGCAAAAAGCTGTATATTGTGTCTACAAACAAAAATGACTGGGTTCATATAAAGCACTAAGCCAAAAATAAACAAGCTGCTTTCTGGTTTGGTCCAATGTACCAATATAGATGTAGATGTAGATGTAGCCATCTACTCAAACTAGTTCATACACCATGCTAAGCTATAGTGTAGATTAACTCAGACATCCAATATAGCAAAGTGTATACTTTAGCCTTTAATATTTTCTCTTTCTTCCTTACTACCCTTTTAGGCATCGGCACCCAACTGACAATGCTGGCTTGTTTTCCTATATGACATTTTCTTGGCTTACTCCTTTGGCACGAATAGCCTACAAGAAAGGAGAACTGCTGACTGAAGATGTGTGGCCTTTGTCGACTCATGAGTCTTCAGAGGTTAACTGTAGAAGGTATGGGATTGCAATGCTGTGAAAAACCCTGTTCTCCCCCAAGGACCACTTTATATCAGCTCACACACATATATATATAACGGAACTCCCACAATTTTTCCCTCTATAAATCTTGGCAGTTAATATGCAGCTTTCATCTTTCCCAGTGTTTCAACATCTTTTCTACTTGTCTGCATACCTGCATTCCAAAGGCACATCTCCTTCCTGAACGCATGGAGCCTGAACAGCATCTTCTGTTGCTTTCTTAATCTATTTTGCCATTTTCATAGGTCTAATATTCCCCACATACACATTCCTTACCAAAGATTTGACTAATACTAACAGTATCTTCCTCTTCCTTCCACCCCAGGGCATGGTTTCCTCTATCCAAAAATACCATTTTCTGCTGCTGCTTTTTCTGAGCCTCCCTCCTCTAGTCTCCTCCTCTCCTTACTTTTCCATCTGGAAAACGATTTTGGTTTCTCCTTCTCTGTCCATTTCTTTTTACAACCATAGCCAGGCCAGTCTCCAGCAACAGACTGCCAAGTTCCCTTACACCTTCAGCCACCCCTAGTCCAGCCAAAATCCTATGCCAGCTGTTCCTTTCATGCTGTCTGGCCAGAAGATCACCCCCTTCCCATAAGAGGCTTTTTAAAATAGCTGATGTAAACCCTTACTGCTTTATAACTATGAAACACGACCATGAATTCATGTTTATTTACAGCTAGGTTTCTGCTTTTACAATGAGGCTTGCATTTCTCTGTTGCAATCTGCTTTCCTTCCTTCCCTCTGTCCCACCCATCTTTTTACTGTTTTAATGATATAGAGAATATGACTATGTTTGATCTGTCTTATGATCACTTAAAAGGTGATCTAGAAATCTCTATTTGGCTTGGTTTCTTTTTACATTGCTTCTTTCTGCTTATTCTGCTTTGACCATCCCTATCCTTAAAAATGCAAAGCAATAGCAAAAAATAAGTGTCCATGGCTGGTGGATTGAAGTACAGCTAGTAGGCACATTACAGGTGTTACACTCATGACGTTGAAATCAAATACCCACATCTGAGCAGTACGAAAACTGGTTCTTCATTGAGATAGACCCTCCTTAAACTCATTGTTTCCGGTAAAAGGCACTGATTCTTTTTAGTGATGAATTATAAAGCTCACGTGCATATATTAATATTAACCAACTTACTCTTAGAGTGAAGTCAATCCCTTTTCTTAAATAACAACATCTGATTAAGAGCCTTCTTTATATAAAGGGAAAAAATACATTTTTCATGGCCTCTAGGTAGAAGGATTGCCTGGATGCACTGCGTGTGGTTTGTGTTCTTTCAGGTTGGAAAGACTATGGCACCAAGAGCTTCATGACTGTGGGCCAGACGATGCCTCCCTCCGAAGGGTCGTGTGGGTCTTCTGTCGCACTAGGCTCATCATTTCCATAGTGTGTTTAATGGTCACACAACTCGCTGGCTTCAGTGGACCAGTAAGTACAATCGATCCTTTTTCTTACATCCAGACTGGCCTCTGTCCC